CCCCAAAACCCCAAAACCCCAAAACCCCACACTTGTGTAAAATTATTGAAAATTTATCTCGAATTTTATCATGGACGACTGTCTCTATGTTGGCAATCTTTATTCCACTGAAGAGGAGAAGACAACTGTGCTCTCTGATGCTCAGAAGGAAGTAATCTGGGAAGAAAAACAGCGCACATTTGACATCGCTTCCATCCTCCCTTCCTTATCTCTTAAATAAGGAATTATTTGTGATACATAGAGAAGAAGACATCACTCAGTATTATGAAATCATCCCAGATGTTATAGGCCAAGGATTTTTCGGCATTGTCCGCAAAGGCATTGATAGAGAAACTGATGAAATCAGAGCAATATAAAGACTATTGATAAGTCAAAGATCAAGAATAAAACAAGATTACTTAATGAACTAAGCACTTTGAAAACCCTTGACCACCCAAACATAGTAAAACTATTCGAGGTGTATGAGGATGACGAGAATATCCATCTTGTGATGGAATATTGCTCCGGTGGAGAACTATTCGAAGCCATCCTGAATCAGAAACAATGTGATGAATATAAAACATGCCAGATTATAAAGCAGATTCTTCATGCTATCCTATACTGCCATAAAAATGGTATCTGACATCGTGATATCAAACCTGATAATTTCATGTTTCATTCTACAGATGAAGGGAGCAATCTGAAATTAATAGACTTTGGCTTAGCCACTTCCTATTACAGGATTAGTGACCAAGGAGAAGGCAAATACGTCAGACTTATATCTACAGTAGGAACTTGCTTCTATATGTCTCCAGAAATTATAAAAGGAGATTATAATAACTCTTGCGATATATGGGCAGTTGGGGTTATCCTATACGTTATGCTCTCTGGACAGCCTCCTTTTGATGGAGACACTGAGATAGAGATTCTAGAGTCAATTCTTAAAGGAGAATATGACTTTAAAGCTGAAATTTGGAGATACATTTCTCCAGAAGCAAAAGACTTAATCTCAAACCTATTAACTTCTGAAGATAATCGTTTATCAGCGAAGGAAGCTTTGAAGCATCCTTGGTTTAAGAAATTTGAATCTGAAATGAATGAGAATAAAAATATTCAAGAGGACATCTTATTCAAGCTGAAAGAATTCCAGAATCTCAAACACTTTAAAAAGTGAATCTACACATTTATGGCAACTCGAGCTGGAGATGAAGAGATCCATAACCAAATGCAGGTATTTAAATAATCTTGACAAGAATCATGATGGATATATCACCTGTTCTGAGTTGAAAGCAAGTATGAAGGACTATCTTTCTCCCAAAGAAATTCATAAAATTCTCGAATCTGTAGATACAGACAAAAACGGGGCCATTAATTATAATGAATTCATCACTGCAACTCTAGGTAATGACTGTTCTATTCGTCTTACTAAAAATGACTATTTTTTAGCTTCGCAACCCAGTGTAGAGTTGAGTTTGGTATCTAATTTTTAGGTAAGAGAACGATACAGAACAGAAAGAGGATTATCAAAGCCTTTGCACTCTTAGATGTCAACAATGATGGAGTCTTATGCAAAAAGGATCTCCAGCTCTTGGCTAAAAAGAAATAGCTTAGAATTTGTAACTCCTGAGCTTCTGGAAGAAATTTTACAAGCATGTGATTATGACAATGACGGTAAAGTTACCCTCGACGAATTTGAAAGATGCTTGAGAAGTGAAACTTGCGACTCAAGATAATTATAAACTGCATATTTGAAGTACTTTGGCCCTGAAAGCTAAATCCTTATTTAAGACATTTTTAATATTTTGGGGTTTTGGGGTTTTGGGGTTTTGGGGTTTTGGGG